CGGGGCGCGGGCGGCTCGCCGGGGTCCCGCGCGGGCTCGGGCTTGCGCTGGCGGCCGTGGCTGCCCCAGAGCGCCAGGCCGCAGGCGGCCACCAGCAGCGCCAGCAGCAGCACCTTGCGCTTGTAGATGCGGAGCCGCATGGTCCCGGCGCGGCCGGCGGGGCGGAGGGCGGAAGCGGGGCCTGCCGCTCGGCTGGGCCCGCCCCTAGCTCATCGCGGCCGCCGCGCTCCCCGCTGGCCCCAGAGCGAGCCCGGAAGGGGGAGGAGACGCCCGGGGCCGCCCCTCCGGCATCAGCGCCGCGGAGCGCGCCTGGCCCCGGCGGCTCCTCGCGGCCTGGCGCTGAGGGAGGCTGACACCAACTGTCACGACGGCGGCGGCGCGCGCGCGCGCGACGCCCCCAACGCCGGACACGTCCCCGGACGCCACAGGCCACGCGCCGCACCCGGGCCCGGCCCATTGGTCAAACTCGCTGTCACTCACCCCTTTCACTCCGCCCCTTCCGCCGCCCCCACTTCCGCTCCCAAGGGGCAGAGTAGTGTTGAGAGAGGCTCGGCTGGCCAAGGGCCGCGGGGACAGCGCGCCCCGCTCTGGGCCGGGCCCGGCCCGGGGCCTGGCCTGGGGGCAGGGGGAGCCGGTGCCCAGCGGGGCCGGGGAGATGCAGCAGGTCAGTGCCGCTGGCTGCTCCGCGCTCAGCCTAGGGCCGGGCTAAGCGCCCGCTGCCCGTCTGTGCGCAGCGCCCCTCGCGGGGCCGCCCGGGCCGCCGCCCCGGGCCGCGTTACTGGGGCTGAAGCAACGCGAGCGCCCGGCTGGGCCTGGGAACAGCCCCCGGCACGGGCCGGGGCCAGCAAGGCAGGAAATGAGTCAGCGGGGTCGGGGCCGCGGGGAGCTGCTGTTCCACGGGACGGGTCCGGGCAGAGCGGAGCCAGGCGCGGCTTATCCGTGTGTGTCACCAGGGCGGACGAACCCCGCGTCTGCTACTCCGCGAGCCCAGCCGCGCCGGCCGCCCCAAGGCTGCTGTTACCACAACCCCCCACACCCGACAGATCACGTGCCCAGACTAGCCGGTGGGGGGTGCACTCCTCTGCTACTCCTGCCCCGTTCAGGGCTTTGAGCATTCCTCTATCGGCATGCAAATTATGGCCATTTGCCATGGGTGTCGGCTATGGCCAGTCTCTCGGCATTCCCTGTACTGTGGGAGTAGATAGATTATCAGAGAGACAAGGAGTAATTGGACCAACTTCTAGTGGTGAGAAAAACTTTGGAGCTTACACAGAGCTCGTCTTCAGGTTCTCCAGCTCTGACCTGAAGAAGAGCTCAGTGTAAGCTCCAAAGCTTTTCTCTCTCACCCACAGCACTTGGCCCAATAACCAAGAGAATTTTTTCACTTCAAGGTCCCAGAAGCAAAGGCAAGGTTTTCATCTCGAGGCCAAAAGACCAAAAACATCAAGACACTTGATCACGGCCTTGGATAGACCAAGAGACTACCTACACTTGACCAGAGCTCGGAGACACCCACCTTCTCTCTCCACTATCCTGGGACCAGCACTGCCACAACCCCACTGCATATATAGATTATAGCACAGCAGTAGCTCTGGTATAGTTAAGGTTGAGTTGCTTCCTGTGTAAATGGAAAAGTTTTAAGTTTTAAAATCTACATCCAGAGTTAGTTTGCTTTGAACACTGCTGTGCCTCATGTGAAGGTGGAATAGGGTTAGTGGTCCAAGGTTGGGGTAATTTGAGCAAGGGATTCCCAAGACATAGCATTCCTATATATATATATATTTAGGAAGGCTGTTTTTTTTTTTTTTTTTGCACATGCTTAGGGCTCAGAATAGGCGTACCCTTCCCAAACTGATTGGTCACTCAGCATTTAGCTGTGTTAGCACACAGCCTCCAGTGCCCTTTGGAGAACCAGTATAGAAAAATGTATTATGAGTAAAGATTGTAAGTCTGGGTCAGCACAAGCTAAACTGATGCACCTGCCTGAAAGGGTGAAGTACATGTGTGCAGCAAAACAAGGCCTCTGCTGAAACTACAGGGTTCCAGACAGGCTGTTGTCACAATAACTGGGTGGCTCTCGGTGACATACTGTATGAATTGAACTTGAGTGACATCCATGCATTCAGTTTAAGGCATACTCTCTGTAGTTTTCAGAAAATGTGTTATGTGTGTTCCTTGTTCTCTGCCTGCAGACAGCAAGGGCTCCTTGTGGAAGTCTTGCCCCAAAACCAAAATTTCTGGTTTCAGAGCAGTACTTTTAAAAGTGCTCTAAAATCCACCTACAGGCTCTGATTTTTACTATAAAAATAGTGCCAAGGAAACTAACACTAAACAAAGGAAAGATTATTAAGCAGCTCGGGTAATGTAATGACTACTCATATGGTTCACCTTTTCCTGAACAGAACTGACCCTGATCTAAGGAAAGAAAGAGAGAGACAGCCCCCCTAACATAAGATGCTCATAAGATTTTCAGATTCTTATTTTTTGGTGCAGAGCTAGAGAAAATGGGGGGATCAGAGCAGGGAGGGATGGTTGGAGCAGTGCAGGATGGGGGCTTTGTCAACCTTCACCCCTTACGGGTGTTCTCTGGCACAGCTAGTGAGGGGCCAGCACACCCCTGGACAACAACCTTTATTAGGGCAAGGGATAATCCAAACACTACATTTGAAAACCCAGTTTGATGACTAATGCTTTGACAAAGATCTGGGTTTCCACAGAGTAGTTTCTCTGTGGTCTCTCACTACATAAGGGATCGTCCTCAGAGGGATCTTTGTTCATTGGGAGCTCAGAAGCACTGACAGAGCAGAAACATGAGGAAGTGGGAGCTGAGCATGTTGTCCTCCAGTGACATATTTTGGGGCAGAGGAAAGTAGAGCCATCTGTGCCCTTCCCTACAAACAATCCCCACAATTCTTCCACAGGGCTCTACTAGGCCAACAGAGGAGGGCTCAGGAGCACCCCTTCCTTCCATTATTCCCCTCCTTTATGCTACCTCCAGCAGTGGGGAAGGAGCATCAGTTCCCCCCTCCCCCCTGCTGTTTTTGGGGGAAAGGGGAAGTCAGAACAGGAGAGAAAAGAAAAGAAGTGGGTCAAAGCTATGGAGCGAGGGATGGGGGGAGTCAGCTCTGCTTCCTCAAACCTCTCCCTTTCTGTTCAAATATGTCCCCACAGTGCTGAGAGCTGGATGGAGAGGTGGGAATTAACCTATTCAGTGCATGGTACAGGCTGAGGTGGGGTGAAGAGCTAAGAACAGGCATGCTTGTTGCAGGGTCCAGGCATACCAAGCAGAAACCCAAGCAAGCAGTGAAATCAGGATGTTTGACACATGGCCCGGAGAGTGCAGTTGGGAGCTGGGAACCAGCCTGTGCAATACACACAGGCCTGGTCTACACCTAAAACTTAGGCCAACCTAGCTACAATGCACATCCCTGAAAGAGGTAGGGTGTGTCTACAGTAGTGCAGCACCGCTATGGCGCTGCAGCTGTGCTTCTCTAGTGTAGATGCTCCTTCCTACATCGATGGAAGGGGTTTTTATTGCTGCAGTTAATCCACCTCTCTGGCAGGCAGTGGTTAGAATTCTCCTGTCAACCTATCAACCTAGCTACATCTACAGTGAGGGGGTAGGTTGACTGAACTATGGCACTTAGGGAGTGAAATTTTTCACAGCCCTGAATGACATAGCTAGGTCAATCTAGTTATTAGATGTAGATCAGGCCATAGTTAAGCTGACCTAGGCCCCAGTATAGATACCACTAAGGTGATGGAAGAGGGTGTAGATTTACTACAGCGACACAAAATTCTGTTCCAGCACAGTACCAACTGTCTATGCTACAGTAGTGTAGCTGCAATTGTGCTGCTATAGTGTAGACATAGCCACAGTGTTGAGAGCAGGGTGAGGAGCTGAGAACAGGCATACTCCATGCACATAATAGGCCCACAATTGCTGTAATTGCAGGAGTTGGGGCAGGGGGGAATGAGAACACCCAGTGAGATGGTTGGAACAGTTCAGCTGGAGCAGAAAGCTGCTCAGACCTATTGTTTCAGGCTGCATTCAACTCCATGGGGCTTCTCCAGCTGAGAAGAGCACACTGAGATGAATGGACCACTTCACACCTCTCTGAGTCTCCTATTCTGCTAAGAGTCAGCTAAAGACAGGGAAAGAAGGGGGGGGGGATTTGGAAGTGCTGTTGGAGGGGTCGATATCCTGCAGGGGATAGTGGGGTGATGAGAGGGGGTGAGAAAGAGATGGCAGTTTTCTCCTAGGTGTTTAAAGCTACTGTAACCTACATGGAATAAAGCTTTCAAAATACTATGAAATAACCATGTCTTTGTTTTCCCTCCCTACCCTGTTCACACCCAATAAATTCCAGAGTGTCATTTGACTGTAAACAAAGTTCATAGGAAGGGGAAGAGCCACTTATGAACCATGTAGCATCTTTTCCCTAGTGTCAGTTCAGCTGCAAACCCCTGTGATAACCGTACCTCCCTAACTAAAAACTCTCTCTACTACTAATAGCTCTTCTGTTTAAAACACTAGGAAATTTACCAAAAACAAAAACAAAACAAACAAAACAAACCCAACCCTTAGTTAATGCAGAGTTAAGCTTGCCTGGTGGTGTTTCATGCCCTTCCAGAACAGCAAGTTCAGCTGCATTCAGATCTCTGAGAATCAGGGAATATGGTTAAGGTATACACCATCCCCACCCCCAACACAGTCACAATTCTGCCCTTGTTGAGTGGTGCCCCATCATGCCCATAACACACACACTAGTATTCTACCCTTGCAGATAGCTCTTTGCTGCAGTTAGTCACCACATCCTCTCTGCTGCAGAACTTCCCCCATCTTCGAGGCATATCCTCTGGTTCTTTTGTACTGCAGTATGATGAGACACTGATTCTTTCCTGCTGAATTATGGGAGAACCTGAATGTCCTCCTGCACATGGGGGGATTGTGGGAAGGCACTGGAGGACTATTGGCACCTACGTAGTTTAACCTGCATCGTCACTGCAAAGCGTAGGGGTTACTAGCCCAAGTGAAAGCAGAACCGGGCCAACTAGCCCCAGTTGAAAGCATCACTTAACCTGGAGGAGAGGTTTCTGTAGGTGGATGGGAAGGGGTTTAGGGGCAACACCCAGGTAAGACACTGTACAAACACTGAA